AAAACATTGCCACTAGAAAAACAAACAGTTCTTTAATCCCAACTCCGCCTCAATCCCAAGCTAGTTGAGGTCAGTTACATGAATCCTCACTATCTATTCAGTGGTAATAATGTGAAATAATAGTTTATTACTAAGCAATATAATGCAAGTTAGCATTGGCAAACCTTCAAAGAATCAAGTGAACTTAAATTCAGCTGGGGTTTGCATCTCAAAATTCTAAATTTAGGCGGTTGACTTCTCCCTTTGCTATGCACCGAAACTGTGGTAGTGAGTTGAGAGTGCAGACAGCCACAATCCATTCTGCAACCAGAAAGCTAGTTAGGCTCACATCTAATTCTTGTTAGGTGCAGGCATAGAGACAAATCACACTTGCTTTTGGAAATAACATGTTTTGCGTTTGTGTCATACCATTTCCGTTCATACATTTAACTTGACTTGGATAACTATAGAAGTATACATAAGTCTTGATGTTGTCTTTGCAAACACACTATTTTGTATGTACTATAACATATTAACATTCACGTCTAACTTTTAATCCTAGCATAGCTTACGATTACCAATGCAAATCCTCAAAATTTGTCTGAACTAAACTTGAACCAACTCGAGCTAGCCACAAATTAATTTGTAAAAGGGAGAGACTAAATGAAATAAAATCTAGCCCCCTAAACACACATGAGCTAAGTCATAATGCTCCCCCTTAAAGCAGAATACAAGCTTCAACAACTCATCAAGGCAAATTAAAATAGTAAACTACTCAATTATAGATAACTCATAACCCCATAACAAACCATGCAATAGGTAGCACCGTAGCAGATAGAGAGCACTAATTATAAAAATAGAGATAATGGTCAAAATCACACCTGAACTAACACTTTTTTTGCGAGTTTCACATCCAACAATCACCATCTATATATTAGAACACACCTAGTTAAGTAGATGGTGACAGCACAGGTAGGAAAAGGGAACAACAGAAATCTATACATTTTAATACACAAAATGAACTTTCCCTCTTCAAGATTATTTTTTTTTCATGTTAAACTGAATTTCAATCAAGATAACAAAACCCCACGAGCTAAATTTATCCAAATGCCTCAAAATCAGCCCAAAAATATTCATATCCCAATTAAATTATAGCTCCAAAAAATGGTGCTAAACCAAAGTAAAATACAACAAAAATGAAAAAAACTAAAATTGAAATTGCATTACGGGAAGTTTTGGATTTCACCTTAAATCACTTGGATGAATATTTCATCGGAATAGGCAAAGCTCAAATTGAAGCCAAAAATTTTGTGGAGCTTTGAAACTCCGCGAAGAAGAAGAAGAAGAGTACAGACTAGTATTACTGGATAACGTTCTCGCCTTTTAATGGGCTTGAAATTATAGTGTCCAATGGATTAATGGGCCTCTAGTTTAGGGTCTAATTACGTGTCTTTCCGTGAATTGTTGAAATTATTATTCGTGCTAGAGTTTGGTTCTCAGATACATATATAAATGTTCAAATATATATGATCAAAATTAAATGTAATTTGTCCCAGATACACTATATATTCATGTGGATTCGTATGTATTTGTCTCTCTCACAACTAGAACTAGTTTTTCAAAACAAAATTTCTCAATGTCTAAACTCCAAACACAACTTTAATTTTTATAGCAATAACTAATTAATGAAGTTAGTTTTTACAATAACTATAGGACTAATTAATAAGTATACAACTTTCATAACTATACAATATATATTTTTTGTTACATTATATTTTAGTTGGCCTCTCATTTTCTTTCTATTTTTGAGGAGTCTTTCTTTATTGAAAACCACTTAGAGTACTATGAAAAAGGTTAAGCCAAAAGTCTTCAACAAATCCTATTTTAATGCTCTCACAAAGAATTCAACCGAACAAATCCAATCCATTAAACATTTGTCAAATTTTTCACATTTCCACTATTTATACTGCTAAAAAAACACATCCAAAAGTCACTAAAAAAATCACTTTTAATTTCAACAATAAAAAAAAAAAAAAATTTAAAAAACTTACTCAAAACAAAAAATATGGTTGGACAAAAAAACATGAAGTCTGCCGGAGTAAGGGCGGCGCCACCATCAGGGCAGCCACACACCTCCATTAGGGCGCCCGGTATGGCGGCACCACCACCGTCAATGGGGCAACAAGTTTCCATGGCCGCGACAGCCGCGACCACAGGAAACCAAACGTCACCAAAATTGCCTTCACCAGCTAACATGAACACAGAAGTGCTCAACCAAACACGTAAGATGCCTTTTTGCCCGGCTAAAGCTGTCGTTGGCGGCCTTGCCATAGTAATGTCGATCGCGTATTTGACCTTGTATTCCAAGAAAAAGCCCGAGGCAAGTGCCATGGATGTTGCTAGAGTCGTCACAGGAACTTCTAATCCAGAACACACTCGTCCTCGTAACTAATTATATACACTAATAGTGTAATCATAAATTTTTACATTATCAATATACTTAAATTAGGTTCGTTGATACGTAATTGGTGTTACGTATTCAATTGTTTTTACTTTTATGTTACAAATTTCTTTTGGTTAGTCACGTGCATGTGTTTTTTTTTTCTCTCTTTAAAATACAAGGCAATATATAATTGCTTGGTGTATCGTGCATATGTCACGATTTATAATAGTGTATGTAGTATATACTAAAAAATAAATGATATTTACCATTAGAATTTGACTTACAATTTTGATTTTCTTTAATTTAAGTGCTAAAAAATGGTAGAGATAGCAAAAAGAATGGTGTTGGCAAAAAGTTTGGTTAAAGCATTTTTGTTGAATTTTATGATTTTAAATTTAAAATGCGTATAATATAATGTATCAAAATGTTTTTTTGAATCATTTTGTGTTAAACAAGTTATATGAAATATTACAGAATAACCAAATATAAATATATATATTTTTTTTAAATAAAAGAACATACTAAAAAAAGCAAGAAACTTAACTTATAAGAGATAAAGTTTATTTGAAACAACTTAAAAGCTACACATAAGAATGACCTTTTGGGGATATATGTGGGCTTAGTCCAAAACGCAATATGACACAATGTTAAAAATATTTAAAAGCTAGATAAGCTTGACAATCCATATCAAACTAATAATTTGTTGGAATAACCATAAAGATATTAAAAATTATATCGACATGATTATGAATGAGACTCAATTTACTATATTTATCATGTTAAAAATGACTTGAAGACGCACATAAATATGAAGAATCCTACTCTAGTCTTTGGTGGTTGTACAATTGTTAGCATAAGATAAGTGTCACCTCAGTTATTCAAAATAAAAATGTTTCATTTTACGTGACACCCCTATTTTTTAGTTCATTTTCAAAAGAAAGTAATTTTATTATAATTAAAAATTAACTTCAAAATTCTTATTTAATCCTTAATAAAATGACTTACAACAACATAAATATTTAAAAATTATTTTAAATTACAAATTTAAATGTTTATTCTTTTTAAATAATGTACCAAATCAAATAATGGCTCATAAATAAAAAGAAAGAGCTATATATTTTGATTCTATCTCTTAGGGCCCGTTTGGCCATGTGATATGGTATCATGATATGGAATCATGAGATGAAATTGAAGGTTTGTTTGGACATGCGATATGAAATTTTTGTGTTGTATATTTTCTCATAAACATAAAAGTCCATAAGTTGTAAAACTATTAAAATAGCCCCAATTGTTTATTCAATCTTATCAAATAAACAAAAATTATAAAATCGCACAATAAATTATTACAAAGTTATTTGTTCTTCAGTTAAATAATTGTTTCATCTAACTTTAATTTAATTAAAAAAAATTGAACATAATTGTACTTGATATGTTCATATCTCTCAACTACTCTTACAAATAACCTATAAAGTAGAAAAAAAACATACATTAGTGAGTAAATATTAACTTAGAAGTTAAATGCACTAAGATAAAAATTAACAAACATCACTAACTTCTAACTATTTACAAGAAAAATCAATAGTTAAATATTATTGAATAACGAAATTTTAAAAAGTTACCACTAGTTTGAGTCAAAAAAACTTCTAATAAAATTAAATCAAAAAAATTATAACTAGTCCACTTGACTAAATATTAATAACTAATTGATCAAATTTTTCTAAGTCCTCAATCAATTGGACTTGATATCCTTCAGTCATGTGAACGAACATTTTGCAAATACTAAGATTAAGAAAGTGCGGCACCGCCAATGAAAATTGTCTTTATCAATATTATGCTTAGTCATAAGATTAAGACGTTTTTTTTTATTATGAAAAATCAAAAAAGTATTACTCCCTTTGTTCTCATTTATATTCACCAAATGAATTTCTACTTTATCATTTATATTCACCAAATTTAAAGTGATAATAAATTTTATATTGGTGAGAATAATAAATTTTAAAAAGTAATGATGTGATTAGAAATTTTATTTACATATGAAACAAATGGTTAGTAGATATAAATGTGGGGTTGTTTTAACAAAATATAAACTCATGGATCAATTATTGTATTAAAATATCTCAAATCATGATATGAAATCACATGGTGATTCCATATCATGGTTTTTGGAGAATATGATATCACCTCTCATGATATGGAATCATGAGATGAAATCAGCGTAAAATCGCATGTCCAAACGCTGATTTCATCTCACGACACCATATCGTGATATGATATCGCATGGCCAAACGCCTACTTAGTAAATTTCATTTTTTATCACATAAAAATAATTTAATAAATTATTATATTTATTAATAACTTTTTAATGAATACGATTTTTATCGAGGTGACACTTATTTTAGAACGAGACAGGAATTAGAGTATACTAATCCAATTGCATAATCACAAACGCCAACGCTATGTCCAAAATCACTATCCCCGAGGTGTTCTCCTCTCTATAACACCCGCCGCTCATTTTCCGATTCTCAATCAGTAGCTCCTCCGATGCTCGACGTTTAACTCCGACTCCGACGAAGATTCCGACGAAGATTCCGACGAAGACTATGGAAGTCTGTTATCACTCAAAAGTCAACAATTTTCACTTTTTTCAATCACCTCCGCTCCATTTCTGTAATTATCTCTCTATTTTTATGTTTTTCCTATGTTTGTTTGATTTTTCGTATTCATAATAGCTCGTGTGATGCGTAAATTCATTGTAAAATCATGTGAAACATCTTCTAATCCACATTGTGATTTGATTTTGTTTTTTTAGGGAAGAAGGAAGGAAAGTTATCGCTGTCTCTATCGCCATCTCTGCATCCAGTAATTTTCTAATTCCGGCTAATTTTTTGTGTTGTTTTTGTTTGCTCTTATTGATAGAGCAATGACTTACTTTTTGGCAGTGTTCTGTGTTTTAATTTTGTGAATTTAGTTAGTATTTGAAATTCTGTTGTTTTGAGTGAATTATTAATAAGAAGAAAGCATTGCGTTAGGGTTGCGAACATCTTTAGTGTTGCCGATACCAGTTTTATTTGTTTGAAATGTTGAACTGCGTAGCTGCTGGCGATTTGGATTATTCACTGTTCTACATTGAATTGGTATTCGGTAAGTAAGCCAAATACAGGAAAAGGACTGTGTGTGAGAGAGAGAAGAAAGCCGATGGGACTAGTAGTCCACTTGGAGGAAAATAGGTTCAATCAATGAATATATATATGCTACTCTTTCAAAATAGGTTCAATCAATGAATTATATGCTTTAACAATGTTATGCATGGAAGGAAATAATTTATACAACAATAATAACGCCTTAGTCGCAAACAAGTTGGGTCGGCTACATGATCCTCACCAATAGGTTCCCGTTTAAATTCTTCTCAGGTTATGCAAAATAAAAACCAAAAAATGAAAAGTACTAGAAGATCTTCATATTGTCTACTTGCATATGAATCTCTAATAGGGATAGAAGACTTCAAAAGCATAGGACCTAATGCCTCAAGGACCATCAGCTTAGTGTAGCCACTTGGGCAAGCCCGCACTGGATGAATGTAGAGGTTACGAACATACTCGATATTGATGGGAATTGTTGTGATGGAAGAATTGTTTACAGTGAAAAGGAAGTAAAATGAGCATAGTCTAGGAAGTGTCATGATGATAGCTAGTACTATATTGATGAAAAAGCTTAGAATCTTAAGCAGTCAATTGAACCTACGTATGGGGAGTTGAATAGTGGTTGACGAAGTATACATGGAACTCCGTTGGTAGAACATCAAAGAAGAGTCATTTTACTTATTATCAGCTGAAGCGTTAAAGTTTACTCTAGCTTGAAAATGGAAATAAAGTAGGTTTGTGCCTTCGCTATTTCTTGTTCTTAGTGAGAACTTTGGTCCTCTCCGTTTGCACCTCCCTTAAGCATACTATAGCCCTTCAAGTCTTCCTGAATTGATAACTTAAGGTTCCTTAATTTCTTGAAGGATGTTGGCAAGCTCCCAAATCCATGATCGCTATCTTGGATGCTATTGGAACTGTTGGAAGCTAGAATTTCATTCTCCTTCTTGAACGAAGCTTCACTTACTAGCGAAGTGATGCTATTATGATTTTGTTCTGCATGGCTGCATTCTTTGCTGATCAGCAATCAGTACGTTAAGCATACACATACGGCCCTTCTTTGTGAGAAGCTATTTTTCCTCAATTATTAGTTGACTGCTATAAATTTCGTAATCCAAAAAAGAAAAAAAAAGGAAAGAATTGGGAGTCAACATGCTATAAGGTTGGAATATCGCTTTTGTTGACAACAAATATTGCATGTGTGACAAGATGTGATAAAGGCATTTAATTCTGACCATGTTGAATTCAACTTTCCAATTGATCGGATCCATGGTGTAGTACATACAGTTTTAATATGACTGTTAGTAATTGAAGAATTCTTAGAACTGGAACTTGTTAATTAAATGGCTGAATTGTGTATGTAGAAGCATGAGAGATGCTTTCTGCGTGTAGAGGGGAGTGATAGTGAGAGGGGTGTAAGAGATAGAGGACATAGATTAACTGAAGAAACTCATTACACCATTCGAGCACATACAACAACATACCCAGTGAAATCCCACAAGTGGGGCTCTAAATCCCACAAGTGGGGCTTTGGGACGGTAGAGTGTATGTAGACCTTACCCCTACCTCGTGGAGGTAGAGAGACACCATTCGAGCACATAGCCCCAAACAAATGTGGCTCCCTTTGTTCTAATTTGCAAGATTGCCAGAGCAGAGATGTACTTCTATTATATTTATACTAAACTGGTTCATGTAGTTGTGATGCATAGTAAGTTGAGGACAGCAAACATCTATTTCTGAATGGTCCTGGACAATCACTATTTCTAAACATTTTTGGGGTGCAGTAGTGATATAAATGCTGTCAAGGAGTTTTTTTTTGGTGCTGGATGGGCTGAAACTGCAGAAAATGACTGAGGAACATTTGGAAGCAATTCAGATTGTGGTTGTGGGATGACATGGGAGGAAAGGAAGTAGAGATGCTTTGAGGACAAGGCTACAACTGCACATGCTCTTTAATATTATGTTAAAGTTGTTTATTCGCTGGTGTAATTTACGTCTTGTATATGAAAAAAATTGTATGACTGTGTTCACTATATCAATACAATAGTGAAAAGGTGTAATGTACTAATGTCCAGCAATATCGTGGTACTTGGCTTCTGCTGTTAATAAGAGTGTTGCTGAAAGGCAAGAAGGAGACTCCGTCTCTGTCCCCTCCTATCTGTTCAGGACTCTTGAATCAGGCTCGGTTATTCATTTATGGAGGGTTGGGGGGGGGGAGGGGGGGGAGGGCGTCACTGAAGATAAATTAGCTTCTTGAAGAATTTATTTATTTGTAAAAGTGTGTCATTCTAGTTCTTTTCTTTTTAAGGTAATAACATGTTTGAAATGCATCTAATTATGAACAAGGGGATGATGCTTGGCAACACAAAAAGGAATGTAGAAAAGCTAATTTCTAATAGAGGGAAAAATATGTTCAAGGACCGTCACCAGTAGGCGTGAAATTGTGGTTTCAGACTTTCAGGAGAAAGTCATTTCTTTGTGTTCATATCCAAGTTTAGCATACACACTGTTGTTGTCCCTGGCTATAATGTTATATTGTTTATGGTGACTACAATCATTTTCTGCAAATGATATTCATCATTTTTGTGAAACAAAAGGGAGTGCAGTGATATTAGCTACTCATTTTATTTTACTGCATCACTCATGTTGAATCCAGCTAATTTCCTGTGGCTTCCTTCTTTCCAGCTCACATACTTGGAGAAAAAGAAAGGAAAATAAAAAGGAATTTTGTGTAGGCTTTATGGAATGCTAGCATGTGATCTTATACTTGTAAAATCCAGAAGCTGCAGAATTGCCAACATGTTATTTTATAATTTGTAAAATACTTAAATACCTAAACTGCTGCATTGCTACTATGGCTGCCCAGAGATTTTGGCAACTGTTTGCTCAAGTGGCTTTCATGCCCGAGCTTGATTTCTAAATCATTTGGCATTATTGATGGATAAGAGAAATATGTATTGTTTAGGAATAGGATTTTGTGCACTATCCATTTTGTTTCTCTTAAAGCCTTCTCCAAAACAAATGCAAGCTATTAGGCTCTTCAAGTCTCTCCGTCTTCCTTTAACTCTCTTTATCTTCTGCAAAATCTGGCACCCTCCCCACCCCTTCTGTATTTCTATCTCTTCCAACATCTGCAGAAGAAGACAAAACTGTTGTATCCTCTCTCATTGTTGTTTCTGGAGACCTTTCTGAAGCTTAAAATGTTGAAGATAAGCCTTATGGTACATCAATGTCGCTTTTACCAGCAACCATTGTCAGTCCATTTACCATGTTTGAGAACATCTTGATAAAGTTGTTTGATGTAATGATAAAGCTGCCTAAGATATCATAGCTGCCATTTCTTCAGAAAGCTGGGTAGATTCCTCTGCACAGGACTCTGTAAAGGGGAAAGAATAGATCAATTGACCAAATTTACTATGACTGCACTAGTTGACAATGTCTTTGACAATTTGTTTTCATTCAAAAGCTAGATAAATCTTTTCTGTGCGTAACTTCAGTCTCCTGTTTTATTTGTATGTGCCAGTACAAGAGAGGTGTAGAACTTTATAAATGATCTAGAGAATATCGTTCTACTGCTCTAATTGACTTTGTTATCGGCAATTCATTTCAGCAATTGACTGCTGGCCATGGAAACTACTCCTGTTGCTCGTCTTTAAGGCAATGGAGAAATACAAAATTTTGTAAGTACTTTTTAGTCAAATATTGTTTTCCTGTAGAATGAATCTCAATGAGTAACTTTACATCATGAACAAATAAAAATGCATAACAGATAAAGTACCGTGTAAACTATTTTTGGCCATTTGATCTAGTTGATGCTCTAATCATTCTAAGTGACTCCGAGACAAAGCATCTAGTCCCTTTCTGAAGATTCAAAATAGAATTTCTTGGTTCATATATGTTTCATCCCCTAGTAATGCTAGAACTACTATGCCTGAAATTGGGTCTTAGTCAGATTGTTCACTCCTACTTTTGGTATTTTATGTCATCGAAAAGGACCCAACTTCTGTAGTTCATGGAGAGTGGTCCCAGTTAAGCTTATGACCCTGCTAATTAAAGAAGACGATCAGAAATGATTTGAAATCTCTTAGTCATCTTACAGAAACGAGATCAGCCAAGCCAAAAGGATGAACTACCAGATTCAGTAATAATCTGCATTTTGATGTGAATTTGCTGTTTTGTACTTGCATCACATGCTTGGACTGTCCTGCCAGTGCCAACCTTCAACCACATATGCAGGAAATTTTATATACTATTGAAGAAAAGAGTCCATAGTGAATGATGTAGGTAATAGTCTGGCATTTAAGTGGAGAAAGGTAGAGGTATTACCTGCCAAGTTTCAAACCTTGTGCCAATGGCCCTTGGGGATATCTCGGTTATCCTGAAACAAAAGAGGAGCCTTTTTTTTCTATAAGCTAAGAAAGAGAGAGCCATTGGGTTTGGAATTATCTTTTCTCTGCGGTTTTGCAAAACTTATTTGTGTAATGGAGTTTTTGCAAAAATAGGTAATTTATTTTGGAAGTTTCCAAACTCAGATTTGCAGAACTCGTTTTTGCAAGATTTAAAAGACTGAGTGTGTAGATTTTCAAACATGGTTGCCTGTTTTTGCGAAAAACCATCAGATAAAATAGTTTTTGCAAAAACTGGAAAGAAATCCAAACTTAGTCTTTCGCAAAACAGAAACAAATACCACCTTAAAATTTTGTCTTGTTTGGTTTGAGAAAAAAAGGAAGGTTATTAATCAGAAAAAAGAAGAGTAAAGTTGGTTCTAGTCTTGGACATACATCCTCGGCCGGATATCAATTTTCTTTTGCTTGGTCGCTTCTATTTTCAGACCATTGGAAGAAACTGACTCTGCTTTTGTCGTCTTGATTGGTTTTCAAAGTGAGTTCTGATTTTCGTAGATGGATTATTCAATTGGGATTTCCCCATATACTCTTTGTTCTATGTTTTGTATTTGATGTTGAATAGTTATCCTGGTTTTTATTTGCTATTGTATCAGTCAAGCTGGAGGTTGAACACCTAATGATCTCTTAATTGATTTTGCTTGTTCTTGCAGACGCCGTCCTAGGCAGTTCAGCTTTTGGCACAAGTAGGGAATCATGTGTCTCCCTTCACTCTTCCCCCCAACAAAAGAAGTATAATAGCGGTTTTGGAAATAATAGCTTTTATAGACAACATAGATCATTGAGACACATTATTGCAAGGTCCGAACTTGCTAATACCAGCTCAGCTGGTGCTGCTTATCCACTGTCAGGTGCATTTCAAAATTGTTTTACCATCTCTTTTATTCACTTGGACTTGCTTTTACAGAGATACATCTTCTCTTTTACAGAACTAGAGTTGAGGTCAAAAGTCAGAGCGATATGCTTTTACTCTGTCAGTGCTTTCTCTGCCATCTTTTTGTTCGTGATCATGCTTGTGCAACATCCTTTTGTACTGTTATTTGATCGATACCATAGGAAGGCTCACCATCTTGTTGCCAGGACATGGGCAACCTTGACCATTACTCCATTTTATAGAGTTGAGTTTGAGGGCTTGGAGAATCTTCCTTCTCCTGATACTCCTGCAGTATATGTGTCCAACCATCAGAGCTTTCTGGACATATATACATTACTTACTCTTGGGAGGAACTTCAAGTTCATCAGCAAGACTGCAATTTTCCTAATTCCTATTATTGGATGGGCCATGTATCTGATGGGTCTGATTCCATTAAGGCGCATGGACAGCAGAAGTCAATTGGTATTTTTTTCTTTGATGTGATTAATGTCAAATATCCTCATAGCTATACTGAATCTTTTAAGTTATTCAATTGTATGCCAACTATTCAATCATTTCTTAAATGGGTTTGGATCCTATTGAAAGGTTTGATGTTTCTACTTTCTTATTAGCTTTTATGAATTCAGGAATGTCTCAAGCGTTGCATGGATTTAGTCAAGAAGGGGGCATCCGTCTTTTTCTTCCCCGAGGGTACTCGGAGTAAAGATGGAAAGTTAGGCCCTTTCAAGGTAAGGTCTATGTCCAAACAACTTATGTTCCCTCTCTCTCATCCATCTACTCCCACATCCCAACCTCACCCCCACTCTCCACCCCCTAAAAATGAAGAAAACAGCATAAGCTTTCAGAAAGTTTCCAATTCACTAGGTAGCTTCTTGTTAGAATAGAAATATTATCTTCAGATATGTCTTTATCCCCTTCCTATAACATCTGGTGTGTTCGTATTGGAATTTCAGCTTGTAGACTGCAAAAAGTAATAGTGGGCAAATAAAACCTTTGAATACAACCGAGTATAGACCTGTAGTTAATGTTGCAAGTAATTTTGAATGCCTCGATGCCTTAGCTGTTAAGCGTAAGGCCATAATCTACTCATGGTACCATATTCTGGTAATCCTTTTTTTTAGGTCATTGATTACATGAATTTATTGCAAATAAACCTAGTAAAAGGTGTACTGGTCTTCTGTTTAGCTCTCTTTTTTTTTCTTGCTGGTGGTGCAGAAAGGTGCCTTTAGCGTTGCTGCCAAAACCGGAGTGCCTGTGGTTCCAATTACTATTAGTGGAACAGGCAGGATAATGCCAGCAGGGCTGGAGGGTAGAGTATATCCAGGATCAGTTAAAGTTTTCATCCACAAGCCTTTAAAAGGTAATGATTCAGATGTGCTGTGTAGCGAAGCCAGGAATGTGATAAAGGATGTGCTCGTTCATCAAGGCTGAGGGATCTGTTCAACATGTACTTTCTAGTTTATCTTTTTCACCAAAGCATCACAAGTTAGGATTCAGGGAATATGTGCATACAGGTATGCTTTCCTAGCAGTTTGTCCTCCTATAATTGAGCTTCTGTCCTTTAATATTTTATGCAAATACTTTTCTTGACAACATCACGTTTCTACATATATTTTTATCAACTCTTTTTTTTTTATGGAAAAAAAGAACTGGAAATGCAGTTGTTTCCCCCCCTTGAATTTCTAGCGTAACCCCATTTTGGGGAGGGAAGGGGGAGAAAAGATGAGAAGCGTATAGAGGTCTTCTTTTCTTTTTTTGGTTTGCACTCGTTCATGTGATGCCAATATATTTTTTGTTTTAAATTGTGCTGACTACATTGTTTTGGTTCTTTGTGTTGGATGCTCTGATTTTACCTGGGACTAAATTGAATTGTTCTACTGCCAACCAAGCCCTTCTCAAATACGACAGTCGGATGACTCCGTAATATCCTATGTTACTCAGACTCTCCAAAAATGTTGCCTCACCCCTATCAGATCCTCTAAAAATGCACCATTGATGGAGGATCTGGCTCGCACCCGTCAACATTTTTGAAGAGTCTAAGCAACATAGGTACTATTAATAAACACTTTTATTACCTTGGTCATTTTCACCTGCAATGCTGCTATACCCTCTTTTGCAGAACTTTGTCACATCACGAGCAGTTTCATTCAGGCTAAAGGATATAAACCTGGTTGTGCATACTCTCTTATGCCTGGATGATATTTGTATCAATCAACTGAGTGATCTATCTATTCAGACTTCATCCAAAAAAAAAAAAAGAAAAAAAAAGAAAGAGATCCATTAGAGTTAAAAGGTGAACATTGGCTTTGTCCTCTTTTGTTGGAATTGGCAGCAGGTTCTTCCCAATTGTCATTTACATCAGAAGGTTGCCTTTTGTGCCATTACTCAATTGTATAGGGCTCTACTAATATTGTTCATCTGAGTTTCTGTTCTGTGCACTGATGTTGCAAGTAAGCGCTTTGACTTTGCGTATGCTTGTTTAGACATCTCAACTTGTCTTTACCGTGTCAGTTGGACACTCCAACTTACAAATGATCATCTAGACACTTTTCAAAATTTATATATTACGTCAATGCTGGGTGTCCACGAGACACAATGTGGGAAAGTTGGAGTTGTCTAGTTAGTTGAGAGTTGAGACCAAGTTGAAGTGTCTGGATTTGCGCTCTTAAAGTGCTTACTTATCAACTAAGGTCAAGTTTGAGTGTTTCTTTATGTGTGATACATATAACCTACTGAAGCTGGTTACCGTCATAAAGTTATGTCGTAAGAGGTAAAACTTATACCGGACTAAACAAAGTTCTCTAACTTTATGGCTGCAAGAAATTATCATTAGGTGATGGATAAGAGTACTTGGCCTACAAATTTTCATTAAATGAGCAGCATAATCAAAATTAAAGATTGCGTCGAAATCCGTGCAAAACATTTTGAGTGATGACCATTATGACTCGATTTCAACCTAGAATACTGGATTTCTTCTTGTTGCTCTCTAAAAAACAAATCTTGTATGTCCAGATCTTTAATATCTAATTATTTTAATCAATGATCAGATCATAAAGCTGCAATATGATTATTTTAGTAATACTATGCCTTATAATATGGAGATTATCCTATCTAATTAATCCTGTACATGTTTCCCTCTAACTTAACTAACCCCAAATCTGGCCAACAAACATGAATCTTATTGTATGCCCTAACTTTAGCATCTCATCTAAGAGGCAAAGTCAAGATTTTTAATTATATGAACTTTCACTCCTAATTTTTTTCATTGGGTTCTAAATAAATTATATATATATATATATATATATATTAACACAAATATAAAATTTGAGTCGAAATTATTGATTCGGCCAAACTCATATCTACTACATTGACTTCATTCTCGTCAAAAGCATTTAAAAAGTTTTAAATTTTATGCATGAACGACGTAAATATATTGACACAGAGAAATCACTCACAAGGCAATAAATTAGTGATAAAAACTTTTAAAGTTTAAAATATTTTTTGTATGTTTATTCAAGTTATGTATACATGCGATCGGCAAAATCAAATACGTACTTGCGCATTATATAATATGAAATTCCTACTAACCTCTAAGTTCCATCCTAATTAAGGTCCCACTCCAATTTTTAATTATAAAAATTAATCATTGAATAATTAAAATGAGCTAAAATATTACTTGAAACTTAGCAAATTTCAGAATAATATCTTCAATTTTAATTTTTTTTCCAGCTTAAGTGCTATATCCAATTCAAATAATGACATATATCATTCTATATTTTGTGAAATAATATGGAAATGTGATGCAAGTAAATTCAAGTCAATTTTAAAAAGAAAGAAACTTCAATAATATCCTCAATTTTTTTCTATTTCTTAAATTTTTTAAACATAAGTTTATTGCTTATTATTAATTTCAACACTTCTTATCCACAACTATTTATTTATAATAAAATTAATGTCAGAATTGAAAAGTTTTTATCAACCTGTAGTATTTACCAATTATATATATAAAAAATAAAATCCTCTATAATAAATTTTGTTATAAAAGTTAAGTATATATATATTTATATAGAATCGATCTTTTATATTATGTTACTACATTTTATGACAAATCATAAAATATTCAGTATTATAACAGGTTGGGGGTCATCGGGGGTGGGGAGCTGTCATTTTTACCAACTTCTCTTGAGTCTGTAAATTACTACATTTTCAGTTCCTTTCTCTAGGTATGTCTATTTTGACTTCATCTTTGTTCCCTTCTTAACCCCACCACCCCACAAAAACACCTCACTGTTTTCTTCATCATCATCCTCATGTCTATTTTCAAGAATTAATTTTTTAAGACTTCCAACTGTAAGTCCTTTTTCTCTGATCTATACTCATATATTGTTTTAATTATCGACTGTGGTTTCATATTTGTTCATTATGCTACAATATGTTTGTTTCTTGGACTAATTTGATCTGAAAGTGGTCAATCAAGCTTAAAAATTGAATCTTGATGGATTAAATCTAGAAGGGTTTGACTAAAAACTCAAACTTTATGTGTTACAGCCAAAGGGGATGTGTAATTTAGTGTATAGATGAGAAGAATTTTGTCTTATTGATGTTAAAATCATGCGATTTTGGAGCTTGGTTGTAGAAATATGGACTTCATCTCGATTCAGTCAACATGATGAGTTTGTTGAAATTATTCTGAAATTTTATAATTTGTTATACTGATATTGAGATTTAGAATTTGTTCAAATTTGGATAATTTATATCAAAAATAGTTAAAGAGGGTAGAGGAGAAGGGGTGTGTGGTGTGTGTGGGGGGGGGGGGGGGAGGGGGGAGGATCAGGCTTGCTGATGTAGTGCCAAATTGTAGGAAATTGAAGTATGAGTTAAGTGATTTTAGTTATCGGGCATATGAGCTAGTATCCGGAGATTTTGCATCTTGAAATTGCTCTTGCTATATATCCAGAATGCAGACCTTTTTCTTTCTCTTGAAGTTTGTGTACTTCTCGCGATAGATAAGCTGGTTTAATTTCCAAAGTCTAACTTCTAGTGGATTTACCGCACTGTAAAGTAGTAGCTTAGTGTGTCTGAGGTCAAGGTGAGCCAAAAATTTTAAGGGACCCCTTTCAATATATTTTCATTATTGACTGTGGTTTCATAGTGGGACTCCTTTCTTTACTATTTTGTTCATTATGCTACAATCTGTTCCTTTATTGGACTAATTTATATATCCATGTGCAAAATTTAATCTGAAGGTGGTCAATGGAGCTAAAAAAATCAATCTTGATGGATTAAATCTTAAAGGGTTTGACTAAAAATTCAATCTTGGTTACATCCAAAGAGGATGTGTCACTTAGTGTGGAGATGAGAAGGATTTTGTCGTTTTGGTGTAAGAATCCTGGGATTGGAACTTTGTTCTCGAAATATGGATTTCATTATGGATCATTTCTATCAAAATAATTAAAGCGGGTAGGAGGAGAATAGTGCGGTGGGGTGGGGGTGATCAGGCTTTACTGATGTAGTACCAAATAGTAGGAAATTGAAGTTCAAGTTAAGCGATTAGTTATCGGGTATCTAAGCTAGTATCTGGAGATTTAGCATCTTGAAATTGCTATTGATAAGCCAAGGGTCTTTCGGAAACAGCCTCTCTACCTCCACGATGTAGTGGTAAGGTCTGACTGTACCCTCCCCAAATCCCACTTGTGGGATTTCACTGGATATGTTGTCGTCGAAATTGCTATTTTATATTTCCAGAATGCAGACCTTCTTTTTCTAACGCTTGAAGTTTGTACACTTTTCGCAATAGCTACGCTGGTTTAATTTCCAAGAGTCTAACTTCTAGCGGATTCACCGCACTGTGAAGTAGTAACTTAGTGGATCTGAGGTCAAAGTGAGCCAAAGAGTTTTAAGGTACAAATAGTGCTTCATTTGAGACTTTTGGTTCAGCTTTTGTAGATTAAGCTCTGAAATTGTTACATATTGTAAGATGAACGGCTTCGTAAGAAAGCTCAGGAGAATATAATTACCCAATTGCCACAGTGGATCAAGAGCTGAAGAGCGTACCGAGAGACAAAAACAACAGGTCAGGCACAACACAATTTTCAGTGAAGAAAGAGAATAATACCATTGGTCCATTTCATTAATTACCGAATCGGTTCAAAATGGTTATAAATGTATTTGTGGAAAACTTGACCTCTTGGCTTGATGCTGTTATTGACTATTTAGAACTCAGGTTAAGTGGTTATCGGAATTGGAGCCAAGACTATTTCCTTTACTGCAGAAACTCTAGTCATATATGGCAACTTCTGTGAAAGTGGAGCTAAGATGTTTTAACGCGCCACTTTCTAAAGAATTTTTCATATGGATCATATAACAAGTCCTTTTATCTGCATTAACCATCTTAACATACAAGGTAAGACATTCAAAGTGATTATTTAATCAGTGGGAGAGTCTCCGTAACTTTGTATTGCAGATAAGAGGGGTCTAATAACAAGATTGCCTCTTGCCATCCCCTTTATT